ATTTGTAGAGTTATTCTCTACTGACCTTTTTCGGAGGTTGCCATAGATACCACCATTATCACTGCATTATTTTGCATAGGGCTGCTGATCTCAACAGCAAATAAGTTATACAGACTATAAAGCCATTTTCTCTCAAGAGAGAAAAAAATGCATTGTTGACTTGTTGGTGCACATAAACATTGAATATTTTAACTTAATAATCCTACTTTATATAATTTATAATATATAATTTCAGCCGCAAGACTTTTCTCCCTTTCTGCATTTAAATTCATTCACTTTTGCTGTATGTATTCTGTACAGTTCAGTTTAAGCAAATATTGTTTCATGAAAAACAATTGTGATTCACTTTTAACCTCCCATTCATCCTTTGTATTTCAGACTTACCTGTACATTTAGCTCGGCAAGGTAAGTTTATTTGTAGAGCAAAATCTGTGCACAAAGTAACTGACTTTAAACAAACTAAAATTGTGTTGTGATTAAGGTAACAATTCCAGTACAAATACTGCCTTATAAATTAAAACAATAACAAAATAATGTGCAATCTTTTACAAAATCAGGTTTACTCTCTCATTTCACTCAGAGGTTGTCTCACCTATAGAAGGTTCTTGTATGAGTGGAGAGGCTGTAGCACTCAGGCTCTGGACCAGGCTGCCCAGCTCCTTCAGGGCACACACCATCACGTGTTGACTGGCAGAGACATCAGCCGCCCCTGCTTTGTTCTCTCCAGTCAAATCATTTACTACTGCTTCTGCAAAACACAAGATGGAATTCAAAAAGTATTGTTAGTTATAAACAACTTCTATCACTATATTGCTATTTTGAATATATGAATTTTGAATTTATTTTGACAACTACAGCATTAATAGACAAGGTGGCCTGAACAGAGAAATTAATTTTATTACAATGAAATTAGTTTATCAATTAAAAACATAAGAATGCATCTGTACTTTGACAATAAGCCACATTGATCTCTTATTGCTGTGAGTTTTCAGTCTGATTCCAAACATGTTAGCTACAGATTCAGAGCTCCAAGAAATACACATTTTTAAAAATTTTAAAATAGGAGCTCATCAAAGTAATATTTCCAGAGCTCTGAATGAGAGATTCTTTAGAGAAATAAGGAACACTCAAGAGGTAGATTTTTAAATATAGCAACCGTATTTCAATATATCAACTTCTTTAGTACATCTGTTTTAAAATCTAGAAATTTTCAATTAAAATAAACTGATAATAAAAAAAACTTTCTGTGGTTGCCAAGCAAATCAGAGTAAGATTCACCATTTTGCATGTGAGTGAAGAAAATTATCAAGTGCTAGTAGCTTTCAAAGAGTAAGCAATTATATTCACAATTTTCTATGCATATTAATGACACATGCATTTTGGATTATCTTTGCTGAGATGGTTAAGCTTGCTCTAGTTTGTCTAGCCAAAGTAGGTGTGCATTTATGTGTCTACACATAACCTTACATAGCCACTATAAATATACTGACAATGGGTGAAACAAAAGGGGAGCAAGAAGGAAAGTTAACATTGAAAAAAGCACATTGACACTGCACACTAGAGCAGAAACCCAAAGCCAGAAGAAGCGCACACCATGCAATTTTGAAGGAGGTTGATTTTCAAATGTAAACAACGATAATGGATGAATACTTACTCTGTAATGCTCTGAACCGTGATATTTCCCCCCCATCCTCCTTACCCACAGCCCTCATCTGCTTGCTGATTGCTTGGCATATTGCCTGCGGCGATTTGGGCTTTTTCTCCAAGCAGGCCACCCAGAGTGGCCCGCAGCATAAAGGACACACAGCGACGTGAGTACACAGCCTCGACGTGAGTTTGGGTGGCGCGAGGATGAGAGACCAGGTCTAAGACATGGGACAGGAACGTGGCAAAGTTTCGCTCCAGCCATTGACCGCCAAGTGTGGTGACAAAGACAACATAGGCCTGCAGAGGAATACATTAAAACATAAATTTCTACATTGTTAATACTGTCACGATTGATTGAAGTGGCAGAAGGTTTTTGGATAGAATAGCTGGGCAGCAGCTCACTGCACCTGCCAGGCTGCCCCAACAGCACTGGTACAAAGATGGGTCAAATACACAGCATGAATTTCCAAGTATACCTTAACCTTAACTAAAAAAAAAAAAAAAAAAAAAAAAAATACACAGATCTAATAATCATAATAGCTCAAATTTAGTGCCGGTCAATTTAAATGCATCATTTTTACTTGTGTTTAAACATTGATCGAAACCTTAAATATTGTTTAATATGAGAGGAACCCTCACCTGCGTGACGCCAACACGCACTTCCCGGCTAACTGAGGCCCCCTTTAGCATCTCACCACCACTCTTCAAAAAGCCAGAACCTCCGCGCAAAAAGCCGGTGGACATGAGTTCAAGCACCTCATCCAGAGTGGCACGCTTCACATTTTGTCGCATAACTAGGACAGAAATGTCTCAATTAAAATCTTCAATAAAAGTAATGAGTAGACAAGAGGAACTCCAGAGAATTAACATTACCTGCTGCTTGTTTGGGCATCAGAGCAGTGGCCATAACTGTTCCTAGGAGTTTAGCTACTGCTACCCGGACTCCATAGTTGGATCCTTCCAGGGCTTTGAAACACAGTGTGGCCAAGCTCTCAAGCTCTGTGGTCCACATGAACACTGCCTCATTCTGTAGCTCCAACAAGCACTAAGCACACAGCAGGGGAAGAAATATTATTAGACATCAATTGAAGTTAATTTTGTCATTTAGGAGTACAACAGAATGCAGCTGTAATATTTCACATGTAAGTATTGTACTGTACATTTCTTATTTGTACCATTACCTAACAACAAAGATAATTTCTAGTTTATGACTCATTTCACTTACAATGACAATTAAAACTTTTGAAAATTGGCTGAGATTGTGAAATGTAATGGAAGCTGTAAAAATAAAAACACTATTCTCCCAAGGAAATTAAGTCTGTGACATCAACTTATTAATTAGTTTTCTATGACAGATCAAAGTGGATATACCAACCTTTGCTACAGCACAGCGGACAGCCATGGACCTGTCTGTTAAAAGGGAGCGTGCATTTTTGTAGATATCTCTGTGACATGAGGCTGCTGCACCACCCAGTCCACTTAACACCTTCTGCAAACTGAGTAGGATCTCTCCCCTGCCCTGGGACTAGTGTGAAAGAAAGAGAAATGTAAAGAAAATACTCAAAACAAAAGCATTAAAATATGTGTTACATTTTCAGACAACTCATACCTCTGCACTCTTTAAAGCCTTTAAAAGATTATTGATTGTATCAGGAAAAGAACTCCCAAGCATCCGACCCATTTTTTCATAAAAAGCGCCAACACATGCCACAGCAGCACTGCAAAAACACAATTAAACATATTATGACAATCATTACATCATTATCAGTTTATGTAAATATTTTTCTGTATTTTGGGTAAGTCAAAGCCATAACACTAACAGGTGTTATGAATTTTAGGCTCCATCAAATATGCCTCACAGATAATGTAATACAGAATCTGGTCATGTGTACTTAATCCCCTTTAGAAATGAAACCTCATTCTGCAGATTATCAGTCAGATTAACTACTGATGCTGGTGATGCCATTTCACATTATTATAAAAGAAATCAGACCCAAGATGCCTAATAGTGTCAGCTATATTTAATATCAATGCGAAAACAAAAAAGCTCTTACAGTTTTGTTGGTAGGTATGCAGGTGTGTCATCCTTGCTTTTGATAATCTCGTTGCATTTATCCAAAGTCTGGAATACTGTAAAAGTGTCCCCAATACTGTAAAGGGTTGCTAAATTTTTGGCCAGTAGTTTTCTGGTCGGAGGGCCAGGTGCACTGCTTATAAGTCCAGTAAGCTGCTCCACCAATTTCTTCTGTTTCTCCTTTACATCAACCTGGCAGAATAAAATAAACACATATGAATATCAGTATCATAGTGGCGTATCTTTTAAAAGTATCCAAATCTGACCTTATTTGCAGCTACAAGGACTTTATCCAGGAAACGGAGCCACTCGAAAATAAAGACAGGCCTTTTGGCTTCAGTGATCTGGGCCAAAGCCTCTTCATTGAGCAGGAGACTGTGAGCCAGCTCCATGACGAGGGCCTAAAATCTCCGCCTCGCCCCGTCGTTTCTAAAATTGCAAACATCAAATAATCCATTAGTATAAAGATGTCACGACTCGGTAATGTTGCCTTTGACATAACGTTACGCTTATTTATGTTGTCAAGACATGAATGACATTAATCAGTTTGTATTTAGGGCTTGAATATATTGTCTAGGAATAATATGGGCATGCAACAAATCTAAAATAATTTAGCCAGTCTAACATACATGGACATTTACACAGACAGTGACTCCCTCTTTTCTGCATCACTCGAGGAAAAACAAAATCCAAAACACAACACCACCCACGCCAGTCCATCTTCCCCACAATCAGGGAATAATTTAGCTCCATAAAATGCTTCTTTATTTTAAAAAATCAAAATAAATATGTATATAACTGTACACTGCATGTTATTCGCTGTTATTTGTGTTGCCTCTATCCAGCTGCTGATGGCGTTAGCAAAGGGCGAAGCTAGTTCCTGTTAAATCCAGGCTAAATTCGCATTATTTCAAGTCTCTAACACATGTGATGTATTGACAGTTTGTTTATGTCAACAACTTGCCATAAATACTGCAGAATAATTAGAAATTAAACGTATAAATGTGCCCGTTTTACCTGCGTTTCGGTGAGCTACGATGAATGACGTTGAGCAACATCGGTGTCACGCCAAAATGTCACCGGAATGAAACTTAAAAGTAAATTGCATAAACCAACCAACAAAACAAACCTTGAATATTTTTATTCTTGGCTCAGTACATTTAATTACAACGGGGCTCTCTGGAAAACAACACTCCATTTGTTTAAATTGTTAAAAAGTACAATGATGTGAAGGAACAAATGTAGGACAAGGTTGCTACCCGGAATAGATAGTGGAATACACTCAAACAGACGATGCAAATGCTGCAAATGCACTGAGCTGAAATATTTCTATCAACGCAAAAGCCGTTTGTTTTTATTTTACACTGCACAAAATGTCTGATGATGAGGAAGATTATATGTCTGACGCATTTCTCTCTAAACTGTAAGTTTAAAAAATTACGTGTTATCTTTAAACTTCCACATCCAAGCTTTAGTTTAGTGGATTTTACTTAGGGTGACCAAATGTTCAAAATCAAAAACTGAGACACCTCTGATTTGTGGTGGTTGGTAATAATAAAATAGTGAAACGAGTGTGTAATTAAGGAAAATTGTTCTGCACTCCGTTCAAGACTAATATGTGAGTCAGTATAGTCACATTTTCTTTGTGTTTTGGTCATTTTTAAGCAGCTTTTCTGTATTTTACCTAAACAAATGACAATGTATGCCTCAATTTACTGCTGGTTGGTATCAGATTGGTCAAAAATAGGGACACCTGGGGCATTTCTTGTATAAAATAAGGAGGTCTGGACACCCTATTTTTACTTGCAGTAGGGATCATCACATGAGAATATCTTGTATGATATGTATGTACTGAACATGTAAGTGTATTCTGCGAATTTGTGTCTTCTCAGTGAGGACGTGAAACCTGGCGTCACCATGGTGAGAAGAGTTAAAGAAGCCATGAAGAAAGAAGTTAAAATAAAGGAGACAAATATTAAAAATCGACAAAAGTCTTTTAAAGAACAAGAGAAAGAAAGTCGTGATGCAGCGTTACAGAGCAGCATCAGCAATGAAAACAAAGGATTTGCATTGCTACAGAAAATGGGTTACAAAACTGGTCAAGGACTGGGAAAGGAAGGCAAGTTACTTAGTGCGCATATATGGATTTAAGACTTGCTTGCATTATAACAATTGTATTATTTATACAGGAGCAGGAAGAGTTGATCCTATTCCCTTAAATATAAAAACTGGTAAGTTATTTGTCCCTATCCCCTTTTGTTTATGTTTATTGGAGCAAAATATTCACAACATCTTGCATCACATTTATATTGGGGGCCACTTCTAACAATGCTATAATATTCTTGTGTGGACTCATCTACAATATTCTCCACCTTACTACTTTTACATTGAGTAGTGTCACATTTTAGGCTATTTCCACATGGGGTCAGAAGCAAGTCTTTATATTATTAGTCACAGCCCTGCTTGTTGCATGGCACTGTCATCCTAATCATTCGTTCAGGCTGAAGGTATGGCTCTTTCATGCTACCTGATGGTGCTTCTGTTTGTGAAATAAGGGAAAAGAAAAAGATTAACCAGTGTGTCTATGCCTTATACATCTTTATTTCATCCTGATTTGTATGGTGACAGACAGAGGTGGCCTTGGGATGGAGGAGATGAAGAAACGTAAAGCTGAAGAGGAGCTTGAACATTACAGACAGAAAGTACGAGCTAAACAACAGAACGAGACTAAATCAATGGAAGATTTTAGGTAGGTATACACAGTGAACTAATTACTGTATAGTTACAATCATCTATGAACACATATTTTACTAAATTTTCATGCCCTAATTTGACTGTTCAGATCAAGGGTAAGAACAGAAAGAGAGGAGCGTAAGATTGAAGCAGATCTAAGAAGAAGTCAGCGTTCCTGTGAGCAGCTCGACAGTCAAAAAGTTGGTTTAACAATGACAATGTTTACATGCACACCATAATCTGATTAATATCTGACTCCTGAACCATAAAGATTATTATGACATGTAAAAAGCTAAATCTGATGTGAGAAATCAGATGGGAACTGATCAGAAAGAAATTAGGTGATTTTGTTGTTTACATATAATTTTATAGCTTCAGAAATCTGATAATAACCAGATTTTGAGTGTGCATGTTACTGCAGCCAGTGAAGTATTTTGAATGACAATATTCTGTAAATTAAAAGTATTTTATATAATCCAATATATTCTTTGCTTTAGGGCATCACTGCTCCCAGGGAGGAGTGGTACTGGCCAAAAACAGATGTTGAAGAAGAGGTGGATGAAGAAGATGGTCCTAACCAAGATGATGAGGAAGATGAGGCAGTTGAATTAACTGTTAGTATTGTGTTAATTCTCGTGTATATATTCAGTTATGGTGCAATACTCCACAATTCTGTCACTGGATTTATTTGTGTTTCTCTTACAGTCATTTGATAAACTGCACATTTTGACATCGTACTTAAGAGGGAGACACTTTTACTGCCTCTGGTGTGGGACAACCTACAATGGTGAGAATAGAGTACAAACAGTAATGTATAGAGCTCATTAACTGCTAGCTGCTGATTGCCAAACATAAGATCCTTATCCATTTTCTTACTTACATAATAATGCCAGTGAAATAAATACATATCTTTATATATGATGTAGATTTATACAGACTATTCGGTAACTCAGGACAAGACCTTCTCACTCTTGCTAAATAGTTTAATAAAGAGAGTTTTAAAATTTTTTGAAAGGAAGAGTCATTGCACCTTCAAGTCAAGAGACAAAATGAAAGGCATATCTAGTGGAACCTATCTGATTGTTGATACTCTGTAAACTTACTTTCCAATAACTTCCATGTTTTTGTACAGATGAAGAGGACCTTTGCTCAAATTGCCCAGGAGATACTGCAGCAGACCATGAATAAAAACTGAAAAGAAACTTGTTATTTTGGTAGTAGTGAGTGTACAGTGTAAATCAAGTTCATTGTTCAGTTCTGCTCATTGAGCATATTTCTCAATGTTATTTATAATGTAAGGATGTTTTTATGTTTGATGTATCATGTTAAAAGAATTTTAGCATAGTCCACATAATATTGTGAAATGGAAAAATAAGTTGTTGATGTTTTGTTTAGGCCCAAATAGCTTGTTTTAATCAAATAAACTATTCTCTTTTGTACAGATATACTATAGGGAAAAATTGCTTTATTATTGTGTTGTAGTACGTAGTTTGAATGACTACAGCCCCCATAATGCTTTGCACTCTAGACGCAGCGCTGAAAGGAACGCAGTCATTGCTAGGGCTAAGACAACAAACATAACAAATTATCGATACATGTCCATGGGTTGTTGTGTATCTACAGTTGCGTATCTTGAGTTGGATTCAGTGTTTATATGGACCATAGTCATTTAAAGCTGTGTAATGGACTTTTGAGATATTTTGCGTGATAGAGGATGAACGTCATGACGTATGCTTAACGAAACTTCAGAATGAAAGCAGAAACGAAAGTAAGAAATGCAGTGGAAGAGGGGGAGGTTTGGAACAGATGAGTACGCATATTTTTAACTTATTTATTGATCTATACGGTTTTTTATGCAAAGAAACTAATGAATCATGGATGCAATAAACTATATTGCAAAATTATATGAACTGTCTCAAAGAAAACGCTGCGAATTGAAGTTTGAAGATGTTGGTTCTGTGGGGCCGGATCACATCAAAACGTGAGTTTCAGAGAATCACAATGTATGTAAGTCTTATGATGTAACAGCATCTTCGCTATTGTGCAGCACTTCGCACTTACTGTTGCCATGCTGTCATCGGATTGTATTACTTTGTTACGCATTGTCAGTGGATGAACACGAGGCTTATTTGTTTGTGATATTGGATTGATATTTCAGATAATAGCCTAATAATTTAGTACTAACACAGATAACCAGATTGCACACGTGGTAGCCCATATTCCAGAGAATCTGACAAACATCATAAAATTAGCCTATTATTATTATATTTCTTGCTATAAGACATATTAATGACATCTCAGGGATAGGTCTATAAACTGTTTCACCTTTGTTTTACCCAGGTTTACTGTAAGGGCGGTGCTGGATGGCAAAGCCTATGCTAATGGTGTGGGGAAGAACAAGAAGGAGGCTAGACAAATGGCTGCTAAAAATGCCCTGGAAGTTGTCCTCAATGAGCCAACGCCCGAATCAGTAAAGATTACTTAGTTGTGGCTTAATTTACTGTTTTTGCATATTTTGCTGATCTGATTTTTTACTTTTTTATCAGACAGAAGTTGCATTAACCAATAGCAGCAGTGTACCCCCTTCACCAGTGCAATCAACAGGCATAACCCAGTTTAACTACATGTGCTGGTTGAATGAATATGGACAGAAAAATAAGGTCTTGATCAAAGCTGTGGAGTCAATTAAAGCAGAACCAACAAATGCATCTCAGTAAGGAATTACATTTCTATAGCTTATGTAAAATTTGAAACCTTTTGTTAATTAGACTATTATAAATTAGAATATTATTATATTGTTGCTTTCTAGGTGTTGTAGATTTGTAGTGGGAGATAAGGAGTACCCAGCAGGTTATGGAACAACAAAGAAAGAAGCCAAAGAAGAGGCAGCCAAGCTTGTTTACCTTGCGATTATTGGAGGCGAAACACCTCAGGTATTTAGAATATTAATAATGCTGAGTAAAGCTAATACATTTTGTACATAGTTGTAACGTGACTTTTATCTTGTGTTTAAGACTACTGTAAACATACCACATCAGTTAAAGGAAGACCACAAGCAAGTGTCAATTGGCTCAGAAATCATGTGAGTTATTTATGTATATTTACTGTATATATTACAGTTTATCTCAGTTGTTTTAGCACATTTTTTGGAACTGTGTTTAGTGTGATCTTTTGATTCAAACAAACATGATCAGTGAATCCAGCTTGTTTTTTCCAACACTACAGGTCTGTTTTCACATGCTAAAATCTTTGGCCCAAACTCTATCACTTTCAATAGAAAAACTCAAACATAATGGCAAAACACAATTTGTGAGCATCAAAAATCTCGCATTGAGTACAGATTTGGATACATGTATCCATGACTACATACAGATTTTCTGAGATTTTCATATTATGGTACAAAAGTAGTGTCGATGTATTTGCTATTGCAGCATCTTATAATTTTCTTCAGCATAAATATTTTGGATCAAATACTGCAAAATCAACTTTTGGTACAATGGCTACAATTGGTAATGTACTTTTATATTTTACATAATACAATACAGACAGGTTTTAGACAAAATTCATATGTGTAAAGTGTGAACCCCAGAGTCACACTGCACTAAACCAGTGAATCTGAAAAGGACTAAAACGTCTGAACTGCTTTGTCAAAACAATGAAAGAGCTCAGAGAAACACATGATCCAAATATGAGGTTTAATGGTAAAACTTGCTTTGGGGTGGTGAGAGATCAGTTTTGAATGGAAAAACTGCATTTTGCTAAGATAAAATTTTGCTTAGGAAAACTGAAATCCTGTTTAGGATTTTGTGTGTGCTGTTTTACAGATGTCTATTTTCTGTGGGTAAATGTGACAAAACAATTGAAAAATACTGTAATACTGTAATAATGTAATGTACTGTAATAATCAGTCATTATTATGACATTTGTTGGTCTGTTTTGTTGTTTCAGTAAAAGCACGCAGAGACTGGGCATCACCACTGAAGATGAAGGATTTGCAGATACTAATTTTATTGGAATTCTCAATCACTACTGCCAAAAGAAAAATCTCCTCCATGATTTTGTATGTGTGAAGCGGACTGGGCCACCCCATGACCCTCGGTTAGTCTCAACTTATACATTTAAATGATCAAATAAAATAGATAGATTTAAAACAGTACTTTTTCTCTCCTTTGTAGATTTTTTTATAAGGTGGTTATTAATAATATTGAGTATCCTTTGGCTGAAGGAAAGAATGCTAAACTGGCCAGACAGAAAGCAGCTCAAATGGCCTGGTCCACTCTGCAGGAGCAGTCAGACTGGGACAGCAAGGTACAAAAAGGAATATCCATCAGTTTAATACATACACAGTACTATTATTAAGAGGTTAAAGAGGGGGTATTATGCAAAATCAATTTTGATTTGAGCTTTCAACAATGTTCCCTCATCAAAAACATGCCTGAAGAAGTTATAGATGTCATCCATGCATATTTGAGTAATTTTGAGATCTCTCTTGGGCATTATTCAAACTCTCCATAAGAGAGTAAGATTCTGTGTATTGCTCAGCCCACAAGCCTTCATCATCCATTCTCTCACACAACAATTCTCCATAAATACACAAAAGCATGTTCCCAACTGTACACTATCTTGACAAACTTAATGCAATGTGCAGTAGTTTTATAAGTGGAATGCATGCTGGTTGTGTTGTGATAGCTTTCTGAAGGGGCTGTAACTTTGCGCAGGAAGCAAAGGGGATGGGAACACAAAGCATCAAGAATGAGTAACTGTAACTTATAAAACCCTCTTAATATCCTGTTTCAGCAAATATAGCATTATCAAAACAATAAAAGGTAACATGGTGATCTAAATATATTATGTGTTAGCAGTTAATACCCCCCCCCCTTAGATAATAAATAAAGATAATAAATAGACCTACATTTCATTGTATGTCTGCACTGTGGCTGTCTGATCAGGTGTCTATCCGATCCTCTGAAGACTCACCTGCTCGTCTCCTGATTCAGTAGGTAAACAAATTTGTACAAGTTTGAAAACAAAATTTTACCATTTTTTTATTGGTTTTGTTTTTAGCGCTGCTGCTCAAGATGCCAAACAAAATGTAAGAGCCTCAGGTGCCATTAGCCTTCCTCAACATCAGGTAAGTATGCTATCAAGTTATCCTATTACATTTCACAAAATAACCATATTTGTACAGAGTTTTCATATGTATTTCTCCCCATAGGCTTTAAGTCCTGATGTAAAGCCCAAAATAAAGTGAGTTTTTTTACAGGTGATTTGTAAAATAGTAGCTGTTGTTAAGTTAAAATAGTTCATTTAACAACCATTTTGTCTTTAGGCTTGCAGCAAATTTTCTTAATGCTAATAAAAGTAAAGAGGTACCCTAATCTAGACAGTAAGAAATATTTTATTTTAGTATTTCATCTATGTGATTTTCTTCATTTTGTTTAAAAGGATTTAATGCCAGATTTAGCTATTAAGAAAGATCTTACACCTGATGAGAAAACACCACCACAACCTGTTAATTCAAGGTAATCAAATAACATAATTTGCATGTAATTATACTTTCAATATGCATTTTGTATAGTCTGACATACTGTTTTTGTGTTTTTTTATTCATAAATTAATTTATAATAATAATAGTTGGTGTTGTTGTTTTTATTATTATTTATTTATTTTATTTTATTTTTTTCAGATTTTTGTCAGACTATGACTCCATTGAACTTCTTGGAAAAGGTGCTTTTGGAACTGTCTTCAAAGCAAGACAAAAACTGCTTGATAAATATCTGGCCATAAAGATAATTCGCTGTAAAGAGTAAGTTTAGAGTATATTTATGGCTATGTAAATTCAGGAATAATGATAGGCACAATAGTAATTCTTTGTGTGACTGCTGTATACTGTATGTTATGTAAGACTGCATTAAACATTCTTTGAACATTTTAGGAAAGCTCTACGTGAGGTGAAGGCTTTATCAGACCTAAGCCATGTTAATATTGTGAGATATTACACCTGTTGGATGGAGGATACAGCGTACCAGTGGGACTCCTCTACTGACTCTTACAGCTCATCTCAGTAAGTCTGTGCTTCTCAATCTGGGGTTCAGGTACCACAGGTGCTACACTGGTCTTATTTATTGGCACACAATAATTTGGTTAGTAAGGAAAAGTTTTGTCCTATAACAGCCGATATTACCCCGATTGTGTGTGACTTAGGTTAATGGGGGAAACTGGAGTACTGGAGAATAGTCACCAAGAAAAGTTAATTTAAGTTTTTTTTTTTTCAGATCTACAGGTGACAAATCTGAAAAGTACCTGTACATTGAGATGGAGTTATGTGACACTAAAACCCTCCGCGTCTGGATCGATGAGAAAAACACTCAAAATGTGAAGAAATCTCGGCGTGATCTACAGAGACGAGAGGAGAGTCTGAAGATCGCTCAGCAACTAGTTGCTGGA